ATACAACCTAAACTTGCCAAATGTAATAATTTCTTGGATCCACTTCCTCTAGATTAATCTAATGTTTTTTTAGATTCATCTACCGTAAAAATTAAATATAATTAGTCTTGAATTTGTTAGCCATTAATCTTAACATTCAAAGAAAGAAGATCAACGCATAAAAATTTCTACATATTGCAAAAATTAAAGAAGATCAACGCATAACAAACAATGCTATTTCTATAAAAAAAAAAAAGTTAGGCTATCTCATATTTTCATTCCAAAAATGAAAGAAGATTAATGCATATCAGATGTTTTTTCCCTTGTCTTTCCTTCTTATTGTTCATTTCGTTATGAAAATAGATATAGCAAAAAAATTTAAAAGCCACCATGAATCCATGAAAATATGAAATACCACAAAACACACATATTTGGGTATGAAAATCCATCAAAATAACAAAAAATCAAACAAAAAATAACAAACAGAACAATCAAAATTGACCTAGATCTCACTGAACGGAAGTCGGAAGCCCTTGCGAATCTGCGATTCACGAAGCCAGTCAAGCCACGAAGGGAAGAGGATCCTGCCGACAACGAATGAACGAAGCCTTGCGATAATGCGATTCACGAAGCCAGATGAACAGTTCCTCTTGCGTCGTTGCGCGGACGGCGAATCACCGAGCTTCCACACACGTGAATAACCGAAGCGGAGAGAAGCCCTGGCTGGCGTGACTGAGCGTCATTTTTTGTTCGTGGAATCGGCAGGTTAGGGCAAAGGGGGGCAAAATAGCAAATTTATGGGGTCAAGTTACTAAATTACCCTTCTCTAATAATTTTTTTTACGGGGGGCAATTGCCCCCCCTAACCCATGAACAGTTCCGCCCCTGAAGAGGGCAGGCCATTAAGAATGTACAAGATGATGTCTTCAGTATCCACAGTGGATCCGGCAGAGGCTATCTGATCGACCAAAGTTTTGATTTCAGCAAGATACTGAGTCATCGAAGAGGACTTGAGAGAAACATGATGTAGTTCATTCTTTAACTGAATTACTTTGGATCGATTAGTGGATTGAAATCTTGTTTCAAGCGTGTCCCAAATGGCAGCCGTGGATTCCAGATTAATGATATAGGGAAGAATGGGAGCGGATATTGTGGAGCAAATTGCAGCGGAAACATTTTGATCTGAGAGTAACCTTTGCAAGAATTCGGGATTTGAAGACGATGAAGGAGAACCATCAGACTGAGAAAGAAATCGCTGAGGTTTAGGATTTTTCGAATCAAGAAATGATTCAAAACCATTGGCTCGAAAGACTTTTGCGATTTGAGATCGCCAAATAGAATAGTTTTCGGCTGAGAGTTGGATTTGCACAATAGATTTTAGGTTAGAGACCACAAACTTGAGCGTAGATGAAAGCACCAATGATTCTTGCGGAGCAGATCGGCCTTGAGAGACCGATTGGGCTTGTTCATCAGTTTGAGAAGAAGGTACGGTTGCCATCTTCTTCTTCTTTGAACGCCTTCTCTGATACCATGTAGAAATTCAGTAGCCTCTTGTGAGAGCTGCCTCAGACAGAAAATAGAAAGGGAAAACTGACAAGAACAGAATAGAGAAAGTAAAATCGTATATGATTAAATAGAGGTAAGACAGCCTTTAAATATGCATTTACAAGGAAGACAAGACATGATATTACATATTTACCACAAACCTTTAGTTATTTATTTATCTGAGATTTATTATTTAATACTCTCAACCACCATGCTAAGATGAGTTGTGTTGAGGGTCACTGAATGAAAAGGAGTGAGAAAAATTGTGAAATTTATGATATTTGGACAAAGATTTGCGGCTTGGTCATGATCTCGAGCGAAGAGAAGAGCACACATGCGGCCTGCTCCGGCTTGTGTGCAAAAGAAGGCTTGGACTGACCAGTCCTGTTTCTTGACCTTTGGGTGAGTTATCATGTGTGTTCCACTAAGACGAGTTCCTTCATTGCGACTTTTCAACTACATGTTAGACGCATGTGAAGGCATATTTGAGTATACATTTATACTTAAACTCCTAAAAGCTAATATATTTAATTACATTTTATAGTAATATTTTTTAAACGAGTCAACTCACAAACTAACGAGTTTAGTCAAGGTTGGCTCAAGCTTAACTAGTTAGTTCATCAATTTGGCTCACGATTCTACTTGACTCACTTAGACACTTAGTTCCAAATTGAATTGGTTTTCACCTATTTTAGATGACTTGGTCCTTTGAGCATTCCATGAATACAAGAGCTTATCTCTCATTGGTGGTAACTTCATTCAAAATAAATTTTAAGATAAATATTTAAGAAAATAATAAATAAAGATCTATATTTTTTTCAATCATATTATATAAGACATATAAAATCAAATTTCTGATAATCAATCAATATAAATATTTTTTTTATAGCTAACCAATAAAATTCCAAATCTGTCACTTAAAAACTTTCATAATAACGATATAACTTCCCCTTTTAATAAAGTCACACATAATTAATTAAATAAATAAATATAAATGAACGCGAACCAAGCACTTTAAAAACCGTAATTACTCTGTTTATCATCTATTCCATGGGGAAAAAGAGATCGGGCGGTGGAGGGAAATGGGGAAAAGACAGCGGACGATAGCAGCCACCCCTGCCGCCGGCTTGGCGGTGGTAACTTCGCCTATAAATAGCCTGGACGATGGGTGCCTGATGCATATCTTCAGCTTCCTCAGTCCCATCCCAGGTTCATATCTTCGTGCCCTCTTTTCTGAATATCTTGGGCATACTCCGAACCCTAGCTTCGCATATATGCTGCAATTAGATATTATTGACCTGAGTTTTTTCATCTTTAAGCCCTGATTGATCTTTCTTACTCAGTTTTCTCATGATAGAGTTCTCAGCCGTTTGATTTGAGTTGGGAATGCCGCGAAATGTGGTCTTTATGGCACTGGACTATGATCTGAACTGAAATGAATGATTTTTAGAGGGGAGGTTCGTTCAAGACATGTGATGATGGACTAGAGAAACGAAAAAAAGGGCTTTTTGGGCTTTTGTAGATTGATGAGCTTTCCAGCACATAGCTGCTAGGTTTTTTTGTTCATGGGCTTGAGCAACTTGTTTGGCAGATAGAAGATTGGCATAGGCTTTAAAACATACGTTGAAACTGTGCAAATCTTGCTATAATTTTAGTTTCTTGTTCGGGAGCTTTTTTAGAAAATAGAAGTTGAGTGCTACAATCGAACTACCGAGGCAAAAAATTAATAATCAAATTAATAACAAAATTTATGTATTCAACTGACTTTATATATCTTATCGCAGAGTCATGTGCAAGCGCTGTCCTTTAATGCTATTTTTGCTCCTCACAGATCATATATTGATGTAAATGTCACTGGCAGGAGCCTCATAGACTGAAACAAATCTTCTCATGCTTCATGCAATCACTGATGAGGACCGTAAGAACAACCTTCTTGTTTAAAGTTATGAGTGATCATGAATTATGAGGGTTTAAAGCACCAAAACTAGTTTGTACATATCTTCATTGTTGCCCTCAATTCTATGTTTTGTCACTCCTTGTGAGATCACTTAGAAAAGATTGAACTACTCTAAGAAATTAACACAAGGTAATCAAAGGCTCCATTTTATTCATGGCTGAGAGAGATGGAAGGGTAGGGAGAGGGAGTAGAAAGTATAACATATTCTTCTACATTAATACTAGTTGTAGTTTGGGTGGAACTCAATCTTCTGCATTATGATGGAGGTCTTGTTTGCCAAAATCCCACTTTGAGCAGCCGCTAACATCTTAAGTTGTTCATGATGTCATCCCAATTGCACCTCACCATTACCTTTGTGATACCTCAAAATCTAATTTTGGAAGAATTATTCTTTTATCTTTTATATCAACAAAAATAAAACTATCAATCAAAACGTCAATATATACATCTGTATTCATATACCCTCGAGGCTTACGCCTCGCCTCGCTTAGAAAAAATGACTCGATTCCCGATTTCACCTTTTTAAACACGTCAATATATACATCTATATTCATATACCCAAAAATCATATACACTAATCAGGATTTATCCAATCATATCACAACTAATCTGTCATTAGTATAAAAGAATAACTAAAATAATAAGAACCTAAACTTTAAGGATCATAGTCAACCTCACACTTCTGCGCCCTTGCCCTGAATTGAAGTCATTTAACAATAGATAATGAGCTCAAGAGCCCAACAAGTAATTAAATCCTACAACTGAACTCAAAGTACGACAAATGAGTAATATGCATGTCAACAGTTAAATCAGAGCATTAACATTTATATGATCAGTGCAAAAATAATAAAACTCACATCCAATATCAATAAAGTATGTAAATGATAAAACAATGCGGTACAAAAGCTAGTACTGTAGTATAGTGAAGAAACCGGTAAATTAATAAGGGTTTTAAATTAATAAAACAGTCATTATATCAGTACTATCAGTTAGTGAATAATTTGCATAAAGGGATAAAATCAAAACATCAATTAGGTTATATCTATATTTTAATATATCTTTCATCTTTACCAATTTCAAGAGTTTTGCTCTCAAAGTCTTTGTTCTTTTTCCCATAAATTATTTTAATGTATTTTGATATTTCTAATAATTTTAGTTTTGCAAAACTAGTTCTTTGATATTCATCCATTTTATGCAAATGAAAGAATTCATTTAATTATTTGTTCCAATCTAAAAATTTTGCTATCATTATGCACGTTGTTGAATGCATAATTTTCAAATTGCTGCTTAGTGTAGGGGTTATCTAGTGATGTAAGGGGATGTGTAATTGCAAACACATAGTACATAATGAAGTGCTTTTAAAAATAAAAAAAATGTCAATATGAAAATATTGAAGAAAAATATTTGATTTAAATAATGTTTGATTAAAAGAACTTCTAGGTCAGGAGGGGAACACAATGAACCACTCAAGTCCTTAACTTTTTTTAGACAATTTAAGTCTTTTTGACATAGTCCTTTTAGTCTAACAAATATACAAACCTCTAATGTATTTTTTTTCAAGAATCATTATGCAAAAAAAGAGAAAATAATGCTTATGAACTAATGAAATGCAATTGTATAAAAAAGTTTTTGGAGTCTTTGATTTTAATTGATAAGTTATTGTCATAAGCGAAGCTAAGCTTACAAAAAAATATCAATTCAAGAGTAAAAATCAAGAAAAAATATATATATTTTTTGTATTTTTAAAAATTCATCTTATAAACTGCATGAATTATTCATGTGGACCACAATCTTACATTGCATGAAACTATCATATGTATCAATGGGGTGAGATGAGTTTTAAGTTAAGATGGACTTGATTTTTATGTGGTGTTAACTAGTCGGAGGAGTAGCAAGTTAGACTTAGGGGCTATCTGGCAACAAGGATTTAACTTTAGTGGGATTTAGTAAATCTTATAAATCTAAATTTAGTAAATCTTGAGGGTGTTAAATCCTGAAAATTGTTTGGTATGACATATGTTAAATCCTGATAAATTATGAGAAACTGTTTGACAACTTAATCCGGGATATAAGTCGGTTGGTTTATTTACAAATTAAATTTAATGTGCTTTGAATTTAATTTTTGTGTTAACTATGAGCTAGTTTAATTATTTTTAATTATCAAATTAGAAGCTAGCTTAATTATTAATTACTAAATCAAACCAATTGATTCAATTTAATTTAATAATTTGATTTATCCTTAATTGAGCCAAATTGAACTCTATTGAGCTTAATTAGTCTACCCGATGCAACCCATGCTCAAATTGAGTTCTAATAGTTTACATTTAACACATCCAATTCAACCCACACCCAATAGAGCTTTTAAATATCATGCCTTGGCCTTCTAAGACTTTTCCAAATCAAGATGATCAAGTCCAAAGCAGTTGTCGAACCCGTGAACCTTCCCTTCGACCCGAATATTTTTTACTTTCAAAATATTCTCTTCAAACTCACATGGCCAATGCCCTAAATTCTAAAAAAAAAATTTTATTGGTTGTCATGGAATTGTGCCTTGGTCATTGATCTTGTGATTGAGACACTTGCTGTTCTTGCATCAATGAGCCTTGACTGCTAAGTTTAAATTGTCTCTATTGTGATATGGTGGTTTCTTGTTCAAATCTCATTAATAATCTCTTTGAAGACTTCATGTCGGGTGAGAAAATAGGCATAATCTTTTTGAAGATTATTTGTCGAAGTTTGTCTGATGGGGACATCAGATCATCATGGAAAGTTTACCAGCGACGTGGCCGCCGATCTACGGCCACGATCGAGTCTTAAATCAAACCAATTGATTCAATTTAATTTAATAATTTGATTTATCATAAATTGAGCCAAATTGAACTCTACTGAGCTTAATTAGTCTACCCGATGCAACCCATGCTCAAATTGAGTTCTAATAGGTTACATTTAAGACATCCAATTCAAGATGATCAAGTCCAAAGCAGTTGTCGAACCGTGAACGTTCGACCCGAATATTTTTTACTTCCAAAAATATTCTCTTCAAACTCACATGGCCAATGCCCTAAATTCTAAAAAAAAAATTATTGGTTGTCATGGAATTGTTCCTTGGTCATTGATCTTGTGATTGAGACACTTGCTGTTCTTGCACAATGAGCCTTGACTGCTAAGTTTAAATTGTCTCTATTGTGATATGGTGGTTGCTTGTTCAAATCTCATTAATAATCTCTTTGAAGACTTCATGTCGGGTGAGAAAATAGGCATAACTTTTTGAAGATTATTTGTCGAAGGTTGTCCTTGGAACTTCTCTTTGTAAAATGATTTAGTGAGAGCACAAACATAAATGGAAGTTATATATTATTAATTCTTTTTTCATTTTCCATAATCATGATGGCCTAAAGTTGGACTTTTGAATATCTTCAAGCTAATGCTTTAAAGTAGGAGGCCTCAGGTGAGGCCTTTTACCTTTTAGGAAACAAGGCATAAGCCTTATGAATTTTAGATTTTAATATTTTAAAATAAAAAATATGATAAAAAAGCAAATATAAGAACAATTTAAAATAAATTCAAAATCCAAAGTTCATAATCATATGATTCATATTCTAATTTTGAAGTTTTATTTCACAAACATATAAAAACAAATAAAATAATACTTCAAAATGAATTAGGATTAGAGAAGAATATGTGTAGGGCTTTCAGTGAAGACAATTAGTAAGTTAGTGAGGGAAACGGAGAGCATCGTGGGAGTCTTTGGGGAATTGAATGAAACTTTGAAGATAGGCAAGATATGAGTGAGATGAAGGCGAGTTGGCTTAGTTTTCAATGATTCTGTGGGCTTTTATGGGCTTGTATGAGAGAAATCTATTTGATGTGACTTAACTCTAAGAGATTAAACCAAATCATCTTTTTTTTTTAGGATTTTTTTTATTTTAATAAATAGGAAAATTCTTTATAGTAGGTTAAAATTTATTAATTTAATCATTTAATATAATTTAATTTATATCAAAAATTTGTTGCCTCATAAATGGGGCATAGAAGGTGGCCTCATGCCTCGGGGATATGCCTTACAGGCTGAATTGCCTTGGGGCAATTTTACCTCACCCTCTCTCCCCCAAAACAAATCATTGTTGAGCCCCAAAAATACCTTTCAAAACACGAGGTCAACCACAAAATACTTCAATTTTTTTGTTTTCATGATAGAAATGGTGGCTTTTGAGAGTATTTAGAAGCTTAGTCTAATTCATGTATCATTTTTAGAATGTTTAAAGTTCTTCATAAGCTAAATGCCATTTTTCTTACAAAATAGGTTCTTATGACTATTTAGATGCTGTGTATTTGAGAAAGGAAATGCCAAGTGAGTTAAAAATTTCAATCAATGGCTGTTGATTCTTAATCAATCTATAAATTGTTGTATTTCATTTCATTTCCTTGACTTTCCTCCAATCCAAACAGGGCCTTATGAGTTCGGATAACCTGTTAATAATTTCTGATAATCTACATTTTTCATGATAAGTTGGTCCCAAATTGATTGTACAAGTCTTCCATGAAGTGATTGATTTTTTCTTGTGATAATATTTATGAAACAATTCAATCTTTATACATGGAAAGTTATCTTTTCTCCTTAGCTTTTTATATAATTCATTACATTTGGATAACTGGTTTGATAATTTCTGGTGAACTTCCAACGCTTTCTTTGGGATGCTAATGTTAAATGTGAAATTTGAGATAGTAAAGTGTTACCTTACATATTACCCCTTATTTGTATGTTGGCTACTACAAGGAATTTTTAATGCCGTAGATGCCCAATCTTTTGGGTTTTAATACCCGTCTCCTCTAATGTTCCCGATCCCTTTCTTGTTTTGAAGTTATGTTGCAGACCAAGGAGTATGATTTTGCTTGGTAACGTTTCTTAATCCGCATTTTGGTTATTGAAATAAGCGTATTTGTTTATGTACGGTGTTTTGAGAAATTCCAGTTGAGAATCCAAAGAGATTCCTGGCTATATTTACATGCTAGAAGTAAGATATTGCCGGCTTTCTTTTGTACAATTTCGCCTCTGAAAGGATCCTTATCTGAAGCGCATGGTGTTATTGTTCCAAAATTTTGTGCACCACATTTGATTAATAATTATTTTGATTGATCTGAAAGTCTTTACTTGCTATTGAAGACAAGGAAGTGATCTCTATCCATGGTGGCTTATCAGAAGTGCGTTCAGCTCTTGTGAGAGGCTGAAAAAGTTTCTCAATTTGCTATTGTTAGATTGGACGAACATTTTCCTTTCTTCTTATATTTTCATGTCCATGCTCTAGTGAAATGTGCTCTATTTTGTTTGCTGGATTTTTCATTATCTGTCTGCTCCTTTATTCGTTCTTTCTTCAAAAATGAAAGTTTTAGCGCTTTCTTGTTGAGTTTGCAGATCGGCATAACACTGCCCTCGTTTGCCACAAATGGCGGTACTTGGCATGCCACCCGCGGCATTGGCTTCGCATAGAAAGCTCAATCAAAAGGTTGGCCGAGCCAGGAGTTTATTCGACCCTTGAGGCTGCGGTCGCAGCTGCACGGTTAGTTGCTTTACTTTGATGTGAGGGTATGATCAGAGAGGATGGTATTCATGCTGGTTTCTATTTTGTGATGAAGCCCTGGTGATACCATTCTCATCTCTGCGGGCGGAAATCACATTGCCCATAACATTCAGATTAAGAAACCTCTTTGCCTGGTAAGTTTACCTTTTTGTTTCTTAAAATGTTCTACCTGTATGTAATGGCATTTACTGGATCTAAAGCCTGAAAACCACCTGCTGCTACACTGTTTCTATCCAACTGTACCGAGTGTTCTTATACAACTTGTTTGCATGCTTGACTTTCTCTTGTTTAGATAGGTGGGGGTAAACTTCCTGACGATACTGTTCTGACCTGTTTGCGAGGCTCTGAAAGGTTTCCTTCTTATTCAGCTCATGCGATATGATAATTCGACTATGAATTATAACCTGTACTATGGGCCTAATTATTAGGTGCGGACATTGAACGCCGTCCAATGCCCAATGAAAATGCATCACGTCATCCCTACTCGGTATTGCTTTATATCGAGCTCGGTACTGGATGGCGTGGCTGCATCTGATTGGCCTCTGGATGATAAGCTGTCTGATGTCCGCACAGAATAATCTCTCGTACTCTTGAAACAATAACCAAAATTTATTTTTCTGAACTACATACAGTGCTCTAGAATTCTTTTCCACATGCAAAGTTGCAAACCTTACCGTAAGAGCAGAACTGGGGTGTTGCTTACTCCACCGGAGTGGGAGACTCATGGTTGAAGGCTGCATTCTTCAATGTGAGGAGAATCCTCTTGATTACTTATCATTCCCTATAGTAAGCACGGCACCTGAATGCAATGGATTTACACCTCTGGCATTGAAGGGAAAAGGCGGTTGCCGTGTCGGCACCGATTGTGTCACAGTGTCAAATACCAGAATCGAAGGAGGAGCAAAGGCGGTATCGACGAACGGCAACTTGGTTCTCCAACATGTTCGGGCAATCTATGCCAGGACTTCCATTTTCTTCTGGTTTGAAGTTGGGGAAAGGTAGTAGTAGTCTTTCTTTAGCATCTCTTGTGCTGATATTGTGTTTTAGCAACACAGTCAGTAGTTCTTTTCATTCATGTGAACTTTCTATATTGAACAATGTTTATGGAGTCATTTGATATATAATTGCCAGAGGCTTAGAACCATGCCAGAGACTTAAGCTACGTTTGGGACGGCTTTCTTATTGCTTAAATATGCTTTCTAGTACAAAATTTTTAATTTTTTACTAAAAAGCTGCTTTAAGAAGCAATCAAAAATTCGTCCCAAACGAAATCATAGTTAAAAGCTCTAACAGATTGTAGCATTGCTCATATTTTTTCTTTGTTTTCTGGTTCATAAGTGAGAAATGTATCATTGTTGAAATGTTCTTAGTCTTTCATTTGCCATTTGAGATGGGTTTAGCGTTACTTAGCTCTGAGTTTTTCTCTTATCCCTTACAGGAGAGAGTCTGCACTGCTTACATGTTATGGATCTATTATTTACTGCTTAGAGGAATGTTTTGTGGTTTACAAACCCTTTTTTTTTTTTTTTTGTCTAACTGTTAGAGAACCTAATATCATTTTAATTAATCTGATCACGAAATTTGAAGATTTTATAAATTCTTCAATCTGGTGTTAAAATTTGGTATTGAAGAAATTGATTTTAATGATTTAGACTTCGTTTGGGATAATTTTTTTATTATTTTAAAAATAGATTTTAAAGATTTCAATTCATTATATATTTGAATTTTTTTTATTTCTTATATATTAGATTGGTGAAACTTGCTATGTTTTATGACACAGAATGTTGGCCATTAAAAGAGAAGCATAAAATTAAATTAAGTGTTGCAGAGATGAAGATATTTAGGTGGATGAGTGACTTCACTCTAAGAGACATAATGCGAAACAAGTATATATGTCAAATGCTAGAGAGAAGCTGTAATAAAAGTACTTGAGAGCTTAATCAATCGAAAATTTTAAGAGATATAATACATACAAAAGATTCAGGAGTTCTTAAATGCTTATCTTCACCTTTTATTTATAGGATTTTTTATTTATAGGATTTTTAGGATCGCAAAAAGACTATACTTAAAAAAAAGTTAAAAAGTATAATACTACATAGACTATCCAAGACATATGTCGCCTCCTAGTTGACTAAGTGAGAGTAGGACGTTGGAAAGCTCTGATGATCTATCTCTAGGCGAGCTCAATTGTGCAGAGTGTGTGATGAGGACATCGACAAACGCTACCGACATGTTTATCGCCGGCGAAATCGCAGATCGACGGCCACGATTCAGCGCCTCTACTTTTGATTGAGATGACATGATGTATTTTATTATTGTCTAGTTTGATTTACTGTT